TTTGAGATTCTTTTCATTATTACAGTATTGCTGCGCTAAATGTCTTGTTTTACGTTAATTTAAATTTTATAGTTGTCAACTTTTTTAACAACTTTTCTCACTACTTATGAAAAAAAAAAAAAAAAAAAAAAATACTTATGGTAAAAAATCAAAAATGTCGAGCAACAAAATTAATTCAAATTGGGTGATTTCAAATAGATTGAACCTATAGATAAGAGAGAATTAATTTAATAGTTATATAGGTGTTAAGAAATTGTTGATCATAGTTTTTCCAATGTTCAGAGAGGAAACGCAAGTTCCTACTGAAAATGCAGGCAGTGGGAAACCCGGTGGTTGGGAAAGAATTGTGTCCGTTCGACATTTTCGAAGGATATGACCTCATATCCACCAACAGTTATTAGCGTATAAGAATCCATTACATTACTTCATCTGTCTAAGTAATAATTAGTGATGACCTCATGTTATCAGTAACAATTAATCTAATTACGTGAGATTGTAAATCTCGCTATTGCATCAATACTTGACGACGACCTGTCTCATTATGATGAAACAGGCGAAAAAGTTGCTGTGGATTCCACCTTTAATAGCATTAAATTTAATTTCATAATTAATGATTCAACAGTGTGATAAAATAAAATTTATTAAAAGTGTTTATATACGTGTATTCTGACATTTTTGTCATTTACACTATTTTTAAAACAATGCAAAAATTATTTTATAGATTTTTTTGTATTTTTTTTGCATTAAACAATGCGTCTATGAACAATATCGCTACTGTTAGTGCAAAATGTCCTATGTAACAATTTTACATGTTTATTCTCTTTGCGCTACAGGTGGCATTTTGTAGTCCGCAACTTCTGTAAGTAGTCTTCTAAATAGAAAATAGCAGAGGAAAATACAATATGAAATTATACTAATAAATCCTACAGAAATAATACTTTTTTTGCTAATCTGTAAAAAACAAAAACGATTTTTACATGCGATCTTTTGCACTAACAGTAGCGATATATCCAAGATAACCCTAAATAACTTATTCAATTAATCTGTTATCGATAAACAATACCTTTTTTCGGCTCACTGGATCGATGGATTTTGACAAACGAAGTGCCAACCAAAAAAATAGGAAATTCATGGTCGAGCGGCGAATTTCAATTCTTAAATTCTTACTTCCTTCATTTGGTCTTGAAGTACGACAGTATACCAACGTACTTTGTATTGGTAAAGCTCTAGAATTATTTCCATCCTAGGTGATTGGGTTTTTAAAGAAAAGGGCCGACTATTCTCATGGCTTGGAAATGAACGTCTGGTGGGGTTATAGAATCCACCTCATTATTAGAGGGTGAAGAGAAGGTTAGGAAACATTTTAGATTACCATACCTGGCTTTAAACAAGAATTTGTAAAACACCGCCACAAAGCGTGGGTAAAGGGGAACAGGTCCACGCTCAGAGAGAGAGGGAGCAAACTCTCCAGAGCTTGGTCACCCGAGTAGCCCGATAAGACTTGTCAAACATTGCTCAAATATAGTCAACACGTTTGTTAAACAATGTATGCAAACAAAAAAATAGTTTCCATTTATAATAAATGATATCACATACTTTGATTATAATATGAAAGTGTGTCCTAATTTTTTAATATGTATGTAGTTTATAGTTTAGAGCACAGGCGGATCTACGGGGGGGGGAGGGGAAGGAGAGGCTTTCGGGCTGAAGCCCCCCCAAAATGGTAAAATATAACCATGTTTTATGGGATTTTTTTTTTTAAAAGTACCTCTTAAAGTATTATTGTTCGTGTAATTAGATTTAAAAGGACTTAAGGGATCCCTTAAACACCATTTCATAATGGTAGTTAGTTTCTTTCTGTTTTTCCAAAGTAATTATCGTTGTTTTTATGAAAAAAAAAAAGCATCGGGCTGAAGCTCCCCCCAAAATTAAATCCTGGATCCGCTAGTGGTTTAGAGAGAAGAATGACTAGCTTATCGAGTATTGGTCAGCCAGTCCGAGAATTGCCTTTTAACTCAATTTTTCAAATTCGCCGTAAAGAAATGAGAGTGTTTTATATATATATATATATATATATATATATATATATATATATATATATATATATATATATAAGATAGGAATATTTCCTTTAAATATGTATTATAAATTAATTCCAAACTTTACATACATTATTAATTTTTTTAATTATTTGTCCATAATAATAATCACAATTTCTTCAGTCACTGTTCGATGCAAATGCCCTATCCACAATTAATTCTTGCTCATATTATTTATAAGACAATTAGTAATATTTGAATAATCTAACATAGGTATACTTTATACAATACATTCAAATTCAGTCGGCACAATTTCTGGTTACAGATTTACCGAATTGAAAAACCTCATATTCTTGAAAAAATCAATGATATAGAAAATGTTAAAGACGATATTTTATTTATTTATTTTAAATATATTTTTGGGCCCCTGTCTCCCAGAATAAAATATTACGAATATTAAACCTGTAAAATATTACAATTCTTAAATTTATAAGAATCCAATATTAACAAAAGAAATTGATCCTTCTAAGACTAGGTTTCACTTACATAAAGAACTGTAGAAAGGATTATAGTTTTGTAAATTCTAAATTTTAAGTTTCGAGACTGGAGATACTATCTAAGTAGTTTTGTAGTTGAAAAATAATAAGCGTGTTCCGTCTTCAATCTAGCCTAAACTTTCTCTTCAATTTTGTTTTTCCAATTATCCTAGACCCTAATCTTATACCTACATAATACTTAAACTTCTCTATATGTTCAAACTTATCTTCTATATCTGCATATTTATTTTATATTTATTTCAAGCAGTTAGTTATAGTTATTTACCCTTTTTCATCTACGTTTTTGTATTTTCTTCTTCTTCTACGTTGTAATAATATTGGGTTTTTAATTTGTATAACAAAAATAAAGAAACTTGAAAGCGAAATTTTAAAAGAAAATCAGGTTAAGTTTTAAGAGTAAAAATCCACAAAACTATCCGCTATTAATATATAAATGAACTTTCTTTCTCCCTTACCAGCCAAGAAGAAAATCACTGTTTCTGAAACTCGTGACAGAGAGGCCTTGCATGACTTTCTGAAACTTAAACTGTTTCAAAAACCATAATCGAATCCACAGCCATTAGAAGTTGTGAAGTTTTAATGAGAATCGATTTCGTTTGAGAGTTTTGTATAGCCATTTCAGGAACTTCCAATTTGTTTACTCTTCTATGTCAAGAATGACTTAGTTTATAATCTCTCATTGTAATAAAAAAAAAGAATAAAAGAAGTCAGCTGTTACTAACACTCACTAATGGATCCAGAATTTAATTTTGGGGAGAAGGAAAGGCTTCAGCCATTAAAAAAAAAATTATAATGATAATTACTTAGGAAGAAAAAGAAAGAAACTACATGAAATGGAAGAAACTATAACGCATTTGAAACGTTAAGAGTGACTATGACAAGAGCAGTGGGAATCTTTATCCTCCCTGAAAATGAGTTTCCTCAGTTAGACAACGAGGAAAATTTCCGCGGTTTAAGGATTCCATATATGGATGGAAGACGGAGGTGGGGACCGCTCACTTCCGTATTGGTGCCCGCAGTAGAAGAGGACAAGCGCCAGGAAGACCTCCAGATTCTGGAAGCTAGGCCGAAACACGAAGAAGATAGAACAGAAGATGTGTGCACATCATGTTAACTAGTAGTAGTGTGTTATTAAGCATTCATTCCTAACACTAGCGGATCCAGGATTTAATTTTGGGGGGGCTTCAGCCCGAAGGATTTTTTTTTCATATATATAACGATAATTAATTTGAAAAATAAAAAGAAAGAAACTAACTACCCATATGACATGGTGTCTTAGTTATTCTTGAAGTCCTATTAAATGTAATCACACGAACAATAATAATTTAAGAGATAGTTTTTAATATTTTTTTCTATAAAACATGGTTATATTTTACCATTTTGGGGAGGGGGCTTCAGCCCGAAAGCCCCCCTCCCGTAAATCCGCCTGTGATGCCTAATAACACACTATCGCAAACACCCGTATTGCCAAAGTGCCATGGGAGTATGAAATATAAAAATATTAGTGTATTAGTGATTCTTGAAGTCCTATTAAATACAAATACATAAGTAGTAATATTTTTAGAGATAATTTCTTTTCATAAGATGCTATATCTTACCATTATGGGGGAGGTGAGGGGCTTCAACCCAAAAGCCCCCCTAGTCCCCCGCAGATCCAGCTGTGCTAACACTTTACCAATGAACAATATTTCTGAAAAAGGCTTTTTTTTTTTTTTTTTTACTTTGTTAAATCATTATTTGAGCAGAGATTTAATTAATTGCTCAATTAAAAACAAGGCCAACTACTTTTGAATAATAACCAAGTTAACTTCTCAAAATCAAAAATGAAAGAAAGTAAGAGTCAGTTAATAATTATTACTCGGCCCCAATAAATGAATCTTGACAGTCTCATTCTGATTAGTATGTGATGGTTACCTCTAGGTCAGTGGTTCTCAAAGTGGGTGATGCAGTACCCTTGGATTATACCAGGATGGCTGCGACAATGATCCTTAATTTTAATATTTTATTAAATTTGGTAAATAATTTTGAAAAATCATAAATTAATATTTATTACTTACAGAATCAAAATAATTCAAATTTAAGATTATATTCAGACAAAATTTAATTTGATTTATATATATTGTCCTAAACACGGGAGCAAATTCAATTATAACTCAATTACGTCATTACTTTAAGAAAAATTTGCCACAAAATGTATTTTGCAAAAATGTTTCAACTTAATGCAAATTTTATTATCACCTGAAAAGCGTATATACAATAGCAAAAAAGTTGAAGAACCCCTGCTCTAGTAGGTGTCAGAGGTTGGCAAAAAAGAACCACCAAACCTACTTAATGAGCTACTTCCCCCCATCAACACACTAGATAAAATAATATATTAATTAAATAAATTTATTTTTCTTCACAGAGTGGAATGGAAAAATCGTGTACTAGAAGGATTTATCTTAGCGCTGGAGATTTTCTACCTGCTGTTTCGAATGGCCTTAGCAATACTAGAATCTGTTTATGAACTGTTATTGCCTCCAAAAGAGAAAAGTCTTGAAGGACAAATAGCACTTGTAAGATTGATAAAACATTCTTTAACTATATATATGAAATGAAATCTAATGTATAATGACCTATTTTTTATATGTGTAAATCTTTTATAGTTAATTAGATTGACAAACTATTTCCTGGGTAAATTTGTATGATACAAAAAACACTAATAGTTTTATTTAATAACACTCAAGTAAGCATGACTTTTTAAATATATATTTGATACTTCTTTTATTCTTAGGTAGATATAGTTGATGAGAGCTAAATACTTATAAGTTCAAAATTAAATCTGAAATAAATATTGTAGGTTTAAAAATTTATAAAATTTTATGCAGCTCCTTTGTAATCTAAAAATTATAATATTACGGAAAAAATACCAATGATAATGTGGAAAGAATTCATATTGCAGAACACCACCAAATTATCGTATGATCAGTGCCCAGGGAAGAAGCTAGAAAGTCAGTAATTCAGAAAAAATATTTTATCACTCTGATTTAAAAAGAATGATAAAGGAAAATGGGAAAAACTACATACCATAAATTAATTTCGAGATAAATAGGAAGATTCCCTTACTCATAATTACCCATGAAAAGTTAAAAGTAATAATAAAAAGATCAGGATTTTGTTTTAGTTGATTGGTCTTTAACGTCCTTATATACTCTAACTAGGACAGGATGGATAAGTTATCCTACTGATTACAGACCTATGACCATCAAAAAAATAAAAGTCACTCATTCCAGGCCAGATTCAAAACAGTCTACCATCTTACTTGAGTTGGAATGCTTCTTGGAAATCAAAGTATCACTTAAGGATCTATATAAGATAAAAAAGGGATGGATATATTTGAAAATATCCTAGTAGAATAGTAGGGTAGTAAATGCACAAGAGAAGTACAATCCAGCACTTATTATAATCCAGCACCTACAAATTCTAATTTGGAAGATATACTAAGTTTAAAAGATATATATAGTAAATCTAAGGGAATTTTAAAACATAGTGGTATTATTCTGTGCTTATTATGCCATGAAAAATTTATATCAAAATTGTAGAAGTAATATGCTAAAGAATATTCATTTTGCAAACCAGATTATTCACTTCCAAATAAAACCAGAAGAAAAGTGATTGAATTGAATAGCATGCAGCAGATCAAGAAAAAAATATATCAATGAGGTTATATGTAATTTAAAATATGATCTCAAATATATTGAGTTCATTTTGATACTCGATGATACTCAAATAAAGACCAAAGAACTGCATTGAGCTAAAAAATGTTTACATCTGGGGTATTAAGATTTAAAATATTCTGCTCTTCTTTTCAGATGATGTGATTGTCCTGATTATCAATGAGACACAATAGATGTTAATGTATATTTATAATTAAAGTGAATGATTTTAAGTCAGCAATAATAGAAATTGGTTTATGTGTTTATACAAGCTGGCAGATATAGAATAAAAAACTAATTATACCAGTAAAAATGGGAAACATTTGGTTTTTCTTAAAATATTTGTATTCTATTATAATTATAAATGTGGCATTAGGTGACTGGTTCTGGTCATGGCATTGGACAAGAAATAGTCCGGAGGTTGGCAGCTGAAGGCTGTATTGTAGTTGGATGGGACATAAACGAAGAAGGGAATGCAGAAACATATAAATTGGTTAAGGAAGAAGGATTTGGGAGTAGAGTGCATTTTTATTCGTAAGCTTTCTTTTCAATATAATGTAATAATATACATTATTCATTTTTGATATTATAATTTCATTATTATTTTTATAGATGTGACGTAACAAACAGAAATGATGTCCTGTTAACTGCAAAGAGGGTAGAGGAAGATGTTGGAACTGTTTCACTTTTAATTAACAATGCTGGTGTAATGATATGCAAGCCACTATCTCAACAAAGTGCAAAGAATATTGAAAATGTCTTTAACGTCAATATTATCTCTCACTTTTGGGTAAGTAGTCAAACATACTTTTTTATTCCATTTTTTTAATAATAATTATCAGTAAATTATAACTAACAGGTTCATTCCACAATAAACTATTAAGAAACAGATTCTGCCCACAAAAAATTATTAAAAAAACAGATTCAGTCCAATTAAGTGCTTTTAGGCAATGCATAATCTAATGCCAACCAATTTTTGTCAAAGCTTAATGTACCAGTGTTGATAACTCATTAAGTTAAACTTTATATCAACTGGAGTGGATTTTGAAATAAACCTAAAACTCAGAAATAAGGGTAAAAACTCAGAATTATTGTAGGTTTTTAAATCAAAACTTTGAGTTTTTCAAACAGCAGTTAGTAAATTACCTGTAAACTTTGGCCAGTTCAGGCATTATCAGTATTGAAAAATAAATAATATAAATACGCTATAGTATGCAATAGAACTTATACAATATTCGGTATATCTGTTCACTTTCTGAATTTTTCAAATTACAACTAAAGGGTTACAACTATAAAATTATATCTAAGGAAAAGTATTTTTAAATTCTCATACCATTACAATAAATTGAAATCTAATATTACAAAAATATTTCACTGATAATGTATTGAAAATTTACATAATGAGACCAATAAAACTATATCTTATCTTTGATATATTAAAGGTTTTTTTTTTATCAATATAATAAAATATAAATAATTTTTTGGGTATATACTTATAAAACAATTTAACTTTTAACATAATTTAGTTTTAGTTTTATAAAAAGTATAACCAAACCTTTTTTTTTTGTTGTAGACATTGGAAGCATTTCTTCCTAAAATGAAAGAGAAAAATTTTGGTCACATCGTTGCAGTATGCTCAGCATGCGGTGTTGTAGGTCTTCCATATGCGGTTCCGTATTCTGCCTCTAAGTTTGCAGTAAGAGGTATGACTGAAGGAAGGACATATAATTTTAAAAGACCTAACCAGATAATAATAAGTCTAGAAATTAATAAAATAAAATCATATAAAATTCTCACTACAAATATCTATAAAACTTTAACAAGAAAAATAAATATGTTTTTATCTAGGTTTAATGGAAACTCTACAAGAAGAACTTAGAATCAGCGAAAACAATAGTTCAATTAAGTTTACAACAGTGAATCCAATAATGGTGGATACTGGACTTGCAAAGAAGCCGAGAAACAGGTATTGATACGAAACAATTATAATTTCTACACACAAACACTCACACATAGCTATAAGCTTAGGAAAACGAGATGGGATATCGACCCGCAATAAAAATAGAAAGGAGACGAGAATATAGTTTGGTCCAATCCTCCAATATTTTTTTTAATTTTTAGGTCAGTAACAATAAATCTACATATCTGAATAAAATGTAATCTAAAATCAATTAAGAAAATAGAAAAAGTCGACATTTATTTTACTACAGCCTATGTTCCTATAATGGAAATTTTAGTAATTACATATCTATCTAATTACTTATCCATCACAAAATATTTCTTGAAATAACGTTTTTTGTTGAATCTAGATTCCCATCTCTTGCCAATATTCTTACTGTGAAAGAAGTAGCGGATTGCATAATTAAGGCGATAAAACGTGAGCAGTCTGAGCTTTCTATCCCAGGATTTGTGATGACTTTGGATAGATTTATGAGGTAATGTTTACAAAATGTATTGTTTAAATTATATTATTATTATATGCTGTAAATACAAATAGTTTTAGTAACTAACAAAATCATTCATATAAAATTTAACTAAAATAGTTAACGGATAATATTTTTTTTTTCAGATTCTTTCCTAAGAAAGTTTACCAATATTCAAGAGATTTCATGGATACGGGTGTTGATCCAGAATGAAACCGAGTTCCTTAAATTGCCAATTTAATTGTGTTAAACCTTTCATAGTAAATTCTTATTATTAAGTTAAATGTTTATAGTTTTATCATAAAAAGAGTTCTTGTAAATAAATTTTATTAAACTTTAAAAGACTGGGGTTAATAGCATTTGTAAAAATTATTTAAGTGCTTAGAGATAAGATTCAAAATGAGTGTAGAACACTCGTATGCATTAATTTTTAAATTAATTGTACTATGTTAAATTCTGTTGTATCATTGATTGGAATTATTTTGAAGTATTAGTTTATAACAATATTTTATACAACTATAATTAAACAATAGGGGATTGTTTTTACAATAATTTACAATATTCGTCAAAGAGCTCAAAGAGTAACATTTATGATGTAATTATTTTCAAATTCTCAAAAGACATTAGTACTGTTAGAGAACCAATTTAAAATTTTTGTCATTGACTATAAACCTATTTTATCATTCCCGATATAAAAATATTTTTATTAGGTTTTTTTACATTACAAACAAAATAAAACTTTAGATATTTGTATGGATTTACTTTTATTACCCAATATAATATCCATTTTGTAATAATTGTTTCAACAGTTTTCTAGAATTACAAGTGAAGTTGACAGTCAGTGGGCCACTGATTTCAACCAATTTTTTTTTTGGTAATGATACATAAAAAAATATTACATAATATTAGTCACGTCATTTGTTCCAACGAGTCTAGGAGTCAAGAAAAAAATATATTTTATATAATTTCAAACAAAATGTTGTTATTTATTTTTTCATTTGCTTTGCCCAGATTTTTAGATTATTATATCCAAATAGATTTATTTTTTTTTTTTTTTTATAGATTTAGCAGAATAATTAAATGAATTATAATGTATCATAAATTACAAAAACCAAAAGGCCTTTATAATAAAGTAGGCCAAGTAATTGTTTGTAATGAAAAAGTAAGTTAGATTTGTTATTAGTGTCCTTTAAAACTCTAAAATATGAAAATATTAAATTTTATTGCTAAAAAATTTTGTATTTAAGGAATTTTTTGGTGCAAAAAAAAAGAATAATAACTCTAGATATTAGCCTGATTTACAATAATATTATATTTGGCTGATTGTAACAGTATGGGACAAATTTGGACCAACCGACGATGCATCGTGGGGGTAATTTATGTTTATAAGTATCAACTATAGTTCAAATATGGCTTAACAGCTAGAGTTAAGAGAGAAGTTGAAAATTCCACAAATAAAATTTGTTCATAGATGTTGCTCTGATTCAAATAATTGAAGAGCTGTATCATGTTTCTTTTGAGACTTTGCTAACTACTTTCCAAAAATAATAAAATAAACAATGGTAAAATTGTTTAGCAAAAATACTAAATATAGTTAGGACAGGCTCACATTTTTCTTGTTGAATTTGCCATAACTATTTTTAACATATACAGTTACAAGCCTAGTAGAGATAGATAACATAGGTCATTTTTATGCAATGTTATAGGATAGCAAAAGTCTCAATTTGTTTTCCAAATTTGTTAAATGAATTGAACCATTCTTGAAAAAAATAAAAAATTTTGTTCTTCTACCTTTAGTTACGTTTCCGCGATCTTGAAAAAATGTTAGAAAAAAATACTTTTTTTTAGTTTTTCCTTGGTAACTCACTTCCTATTCAATTTAGAAAATGATATATGCAATTTCAAAGAATGAATTTTTTTCAGATGTACCTTTGGAAAATCCGAGAACAGCAACTGAGAAACGGAACAGCAAAATTTAGTTGAATATAAAAGAAGCATGTTTGATATAGCTGTGGTTTCGCCTTAAAACTATTTTTTTTGTTTAAAATGCATAATAACTAATATTGCCAAGGATTAAATTTCCAACACAAAATTCATGCAATACATATGTAAAGATTATGGAAATCTTTACATATGTATTGCATGAATTTTGTGTTGGAAATTTAATCCTTGGCAATATTAGTTATTATGCATTTTAAACAAAAAAAATAGTTTTAAGGCGAAACCACAGCTATATCAAACATGCTTCTTTTATATTCAACTAAATTTTGCTGTTCCGTTTCTCAGTTGCTGTTCTCGGATTTTCCAAAGGTACATCTGAAAAAAATTCATTCTTTGAAATTGCATATATCATTTTCTAAATTGAATAGGAAGTGAGTTACCAAGGAAAAACTAAAAAAAAGTATTTTTTTCTAACATTTTTTCAAGATCGCGGAAACGTAACTAAAGGTAGAAGAACAAAATTTTTTATTTTTTTCAAGAATGGTTCAATTCATTTAACAAATTTGGAAAACAAATTGAGACTTTTGCTATCCTATAACATTGCATAAAAATGACCTATGTTATCTATCTCTACTAGGCTTGTAACTGTATATGTTAAAAATAGTTATGGCAAATTCAACAAGAAAAATGTGAGCCTGTCCTAACTATATTTAGTATTTTTGCTAAACAATTTTACCATTGTTTACCCTGGCTCTGGGCGGGTTCGACAGTTGAGCAGGTCAGCGCTGACCTCACACATTCTAAAAAACCTAACGAACAACTTAATCATTCAGGATTCATTCGCGGGCTAGACTCTCTATATAACTTGACATGGCTGTATCCCCGAGATGTATTTTGAACTTAATCTCTGATCTTTTTTTATGTCCTCCCTTCCTCGCCGTTTAGACTTTACTGGGTTTTCCCGGACTAGGTGAGAGAGCGAGAGATTTTTTTCAGAGTAAAAAGCCCTCTTCCCCCTGATTGCCGGTCAACCCGTGCTTTGCACACGCGTTAACCCGCTCGGCCACGCCGTTCCCCCAAAAGTAAATATGTATGAAGTAGCAATTCACGGAGTTTGTAATACAGTTTCCGGTGTCAGATTCGATGAAAAGCCAATTCAACGTCGGAGGAGACTACTTGCCCAACATTATGACATTGCTGGATAGTGAAATGTTTGAAACAAAAACTGCTGATCTGGAATAATTTTATTTAAATCGGAGATGGGATACAGGCGTATTAAAATGAATTTTCCAGTACTTTACCCATAATGGGTAAAAGAAGATAGAACATTTGGAGGATGGCTATTCTTGTATTATCGTTTAGTTTGGGTACAGTTTTGAATACAATTTTAAAAGGTCAATAAAATTTGAGATGAGGATTACGTCTATTGTATTTATAGTCTGTGATGTTAAATATTTCTGAAGGTTAAAACAGTTTGAAGTGAAATTCCTAATTCATATCAGTTACTATAACAATTTTATTATACAATACATTTAAATTAAAAACAAATATTAATAACAAGAAAATAATAGAAATGTAACCTTTAAGGTTTGTTTATCTTGGAAAACAATTATCTCATTTTTGTGAAATACAACGAACTCCTCACGCACCAGCCTAAATCTGGGGTGTCGTCTATGTTCATTGGAAAAACGGATAGAAGGATCGTGGCGAAGCCAACAGGGGCTGTCTGTGCCTATCTCCAACTTTCTATACAAATGCAGTACGCGAACCTAGCAGAACGAAAATATACACGTATCTTAAAGAAAACAAAAGAAAGGTAATCCTCAACGAAAACGTATTGCGAAACAGGGGTAACTAGAAGGGGGTTTCATGGCCCAAGTTGCGTCATCAGAATTTTAGAGAGAATTATGAGCATTCGGAATGAAAAGACATGGGTAAGCATGTCGCTGTCTGCAGGATGTAAAATTATGTGTAACCTACGATTTTTTAAATGCCACTTTCGGTTTCACCGTTTTTAAGAAGAGGAGAGAAACTAAATATTATGGAAGGGGTGGAGGAAGGTTTATGCGCCATCGACCTTGGGGGAGATGGGCTCCTCTGTTGCGAAAGAATAGACAGGTACTTTTTTTCTAAGGTGCTCTATGAGTCAATCACATGAGAACATAGTTTCGGAACACGTAGAAATAAAACAGTAGAGAAATCATTTGAATTTAAAAGGATAGAGTAATTTTTAATTTTTCGTTATGTAAGTATGCATTGAGCATTTCGAAAAAAAAAAAAAATTGAGGCTCTTCTCCTATTTCCACCATTTTGAAAAAAACAAAACAATAAAAACGCATAAAATAAGTACTTTTGTCCTCATTAACTCGCTTCAAGTATAAGATAAAAATATATCTCATAAATTTTAAACAATGGCATACGAGTCGCTATATACGAGGCTTCTGCCTATAAGCTTTATATATATATAATGATAATTACTTAGGGGAAAAAAGAAAGAAACTAACTAACTGCCTTTATGAAATATTATTTTAAGTGATTCTTGAAGTGCTATTAAATGTAATTACACAAACAATAATACTTTAAGAGATAATTTTTTACTATAAAACATGGTTACATTTTACCATTTTGGGGAGAACTTCAGCAGGAGAGCCCTTCCCCACCACCTCCCCCTCTCCCCCCATAGATCCACCTGTGAAGTAGAGAGGAAGACTGTACTACAGGAAATCTATGGGGGGAGAGGGGGAGGTGGTGGGGAAGGGCTCTCCTGCTGAAGTTCTCCCCAAAATGGTAAAATGTAACCATGTTTTATAGTAAAAAATTATCTCTTAAAGTATTATTGTTTGTGTAATTACATTTAATAGCACTTCAAGAATCACTTAAAATAATATTTCATAAAGGCAGTTAGTTAGTTTCTTTCTTTTTTCCCCTAAGTAATTATCATTATATATATATAAAGCTTATAGGCAGAAGCCTCGTATATAGCGACTCGTATGCCATTGTTTAAAATTTATGAGATATATTTTTATCTTATACTTGAAGCGAGTTAATGAGGACAAAAGTACTTATTTTATGCGTTTTTATTGTTTTGTTTTTTTCAAAATGGAGGAAATAGGAGAAGAGCCTCAATTTTTTTTTTTTTCGAAATGCTCAATGCATACTTACATAACGAAAAATTAAAAATTACTCTATCCTTTTAAATTCAAATGATTTCTCTACTGTTTTATTTCTACGTGTTCCGAAACTATGTTCTCATGTGATTGACTCATAGAGCACCTTAGAAAAAAAGTACCTGTCTATTCTTTCGCAACAGAGGAGCCCATCTCCCCCAAGGTCGATGGCGCATAAACCTTCCTCCACCCCTTCCATAATATTTAGTTTCTCTCCTCTTCTTAAAAACGGTGAAACCGAAAGTGGCATTTAAAAAATCGTAGGTTACACATAATTTTACATCCTGCAGACAGCGACATGCTTACCCATGTCTTTTCATTCCGAATGCTCATAATTCTCTCTAAAATTCTGATGACGCAACTTGGGCCATGAAACCCCCTTCTAGTTACCCCTGTTTCGCAATACGTTTTCGTTGAGGATTACCTTTCTTTTGTTTTCTTTAAGATACGTGTATATTTTCGTTCTGCTAGGTTCGCGTACTGCATTTGTATAGAAAGTTGGAGATAGGCACAGACAGCCCCTGTTGGCTTCGCCACGATCCTTCTATCCGTTTTTCCAATGAACATAGACGACACCCCAGATTTAGGCTGGTGCGTGAGGAGTTCGTTGTATTTCACAAAAATGAGATAATTGTTTTCCAAGATAAACAAACCTTAAAGGTTACATTTCTATTATTTTCTTGTTATTAATATTTGTTTTTAATTTAAATGTATTGTATAATAAAATTGTTATAGTAACTGATATGAATTAGGAATTTCACTTCAAACTGTTTTAACCTTCAGAAATATTTAACATCACAGACTATAAATACAATAGACGTAATCCTCATCTCAAATTTTATTGACCTTTTAAAATTGTATTCAAAACTGTACCCAAACTAAACGATAATACAAGAATAGCCATCCTCCAAATGTTCTATCTTCTTTTACCCATTATGGGTAAAGTACTGGAAAATTCATTTTAATACGCCTGTATCCCATCTCCGATTTAAATAAAATTATTCCAGATCAGCAGTTTTTGTTTCAAACATTTCACTATCCAGCAATGTCATAATGTTGGGCAAGTAGTCTCCTCCGACGTTGAATTGGCTTTTCATCGAATCTGACACCGGAAACTGTATTACAAACTCCGTGAATTGCTACTTCATACATATTTACTTTTGGGGGAACGGCGTGGCCGAGCGGGTTAACGCGTGTGCAAAGCACGGGTTGACCGGCAATCAGGGGGAAGAGGGCTTTTAACTCTGAAAAAAATCTCTCGCTCTCTCACCTAGTCCGGGAAAACCCAGTAAAGTCTAAACGGCGAGGAAGGGAGGACATAAAAAAAGATCAGAGATTAAGTTCAAAATACATCTCGGGGATACAGCCATGTCAAGTTATATAGAGAGTCTAGCCCGCGAATGAATCCTGAATGATTAAGTTGTTCGTTAGGTTTTTTAGAATGTGTGAGGTCAGCGCTGACCTGCTCAACTGTCGAACCCGCCCAGAGCCAGAATAAAGATATTTACAAGGAGGGGCAAGCTTAATTTTGCCAATTATTTCTTTGTTTATTGTTGTTTTCACGTTTTATATAGTTGAATGAACTTACATAATAAAAAAAAAGAAAAGAAAAAAAAGGCAAATAGAATGGTATACGGGATGGCTATACATATTGATTTTTCAATAGCTGACCTTGAAAGGAAACGGAGGAAAAACATAAACATATTTTTTTTAAATAGTTGTGGTGTTTACTTGGTAATCACTATCGATTTTATCTTAGATACGAGAATCATCTTAGTTCACATCGGCATCGAGTATCCATGGGCATGAGGTGCATTCAAGGTGATACATAATTTATTCGACTTCCACTTCTGTACACAACAACAAACTGTACATTTAAATTACAGTGGAGGGGAAGACGAACCGGCCATTCAGTAACGACCATCCTCTCCGAACGCAAACGCTATGGCTCTGAGGTAAGCCTAAATCCACACCGCTTTATCATCATAATAATGTTACATTTTATTAAAAGTCTATTCCACGACAATTTAACGCAGAAAAAGACAATTTCGAGCCTCATTATCTCAGAGTTTCTTTAAATCAGGCATATGTACCAGAGATACTTGATATTTAAATACTATTGGTAGCACTTGCGGATCCAGGATTTAATTTTGGAGGAGGCTTCAGCCTGAAAGCTTTATATATGTATATATATATTACGATAATTAATTTGAAAAAAAGGAAAGAAATTAACTGTCTATATGAAATAGCGTTTAAGTGATTCTTGAAGTTCTATTGATTGTAATCACACGAAAAATAGTATTTAAAGAGATAATTTTTAATTATTTTTTTCTATAAAACATAATTATATTTTACCATTTCGGGGGGGAGGGTGCTTGAGCCCGAAAGCATAACACCCTCCCCTCCCCCCATAGATCAGTTATTATGTATTTTAAACTAAAAAAATAGTTTTAAGGCCAAACCACTGATATATCTAACATGCTTTCTCTTCTTGCGTTCTTTTATATTCTCCTAAATTTTGCTGCTCCGTTTCTCAGTAGCTGTTCTCGGATTTTCCAAAGTTGCATCTGAAAAAAATTTGACATTCTTTGAAATTGCAGAGATATAATTTCACAGGAAGTGAGTTACCGTAGATCCGCCTGAGATTGGTAGATACTTGTAAAAATTTGGTAGATACTTGAATATTTAGTGAAATTTGCCAAATCGCTTTTCTAATTACAGGCATGTGAACTTCTCATAAATCGACAAAAAAACACAAGTAGCGGCAAGTTTTGGAATCGTATGAGTTTCCTAATTTAGCTAAGTATGGAATGAGTTTCGTTATACAGGATATTCCATATATAAGTTTGTAAGGTTAACATTTATCAAAACAATTAAAAAATTTTAATTGTTGCCCTTAGAAATTATAAAATTTATTCCTTCAATAGCTGTTTTCAGAGCCGGTTCTAGGTATCTCTTAGCCACGATTCAACTTTCTGCTAAGTGCCCTCATAATATTTATTTTTTAAAGAAAAATCTTCCAGTTTGGGATATATGTAATTAGCATTACGGTAAAAAACGAATCAATTATATTTATCGTAGATTTAATTTGTTTACATTATATAAAAAAGGCTTATTAACATATAATAAAGATGCAAACTCGGTCCGTATTAAGCTGCCGGTGTCCGTATTATGCGAAATGAAATGGACAAATTAGGTAAAACAATTATTAATTTCTTTGCATACAAATAGAGTAAAACGTCCAAGGGATATAACTATTTCATTATACGACTCTAAACTACCTATTTACATTTATTCTGCATCCCTCTGGGTAGTTTGTAAATTATTAATTATTTTTTCAAAATATCATCATTTACTACAGGGGTGCCCAGAAAGGGGTTCCATTGCACAAGGTGAAGGGAGGAGCAAAGAGAAAGCATGGAACAGATCGGAGCATGTATAATTGTATATGATCTGCGATTTTTCTAATTTTACCTTCATTTGCTCCGTTTTTATGAAAAGGTGGTCAATAAAATATCTTAGGAAGAGAGGGTAGATTTTTGTGCCATCGATCTTGGGGGAATGGGCACCCTTGATCATTTATGTAAAAAATCTCATCAAAATTAAAAAGAAAGTGAAAATTTTGGTCAATATTTGTTAGAAGCTCAAATATTTCAATCAAAGAAGTAGGCTATATTTAATTACAAAGATCTTTTAATTCACATTAATCCATTGTTTAGGAATGCTTAATAAATATAATAACAGCCTAATTTGTTTTCGCCAGTTCGCCTACGTAGAAAAACATGTCTTATTTTAAATAAAGTTTCTTTAATTTTAAATAATTATTTCTTGAAAGAATATTAAAAATTTTACGTCTATTAGCATGAATTTGCCGGAAAATAAAATGGTGGCCAAGCAAAAATGGATTAATGATTTTTTTCAGTTATAACTCCAAAACAAAGTTTCCTGGCGAAAATGTTTCTATTTATAGAATTGACCATCAACTTTTACGACGAATAAGTAACTAACATAAATCTGGTCCAGGATTATATTCGAGATCGTTTGTCGAATCATAACAATGTTTGTCACACTTGCCTTGACCCGAATATGATTAAGGTAACACTTATAATTACCACCTCAGGTATCTGCCTGGTATACCTGTAAGTGAATCCCAAAGAGTTTATTAAACCGTTATGCTTATAATAATTTTAAAATAAACAAAGGGGTTAAAAATTGACCCACCATGATAACATTAGGACCAAAAACCATAATTGAGGTCAGTATAAAAAGGAATAGTGCACCAAGCATTTTTAACACCTTTTTTTATACAATTAAAACATTTATTTATTACAATCCGTCGACGGCCATATAATACAAAAGAACAACATAAATTTAATGTAATTATCTTTACGCCATCAGTAATTCATTTCAATTTAAAAACGCCAACCTTTTTTCTTTTATTATCTAGAATAACAATTATAATAATAGTGTCGTAAACCTACGTCCTCTTGTCCTACAGTATCCTTTAATAATACCCCACATATCCCTGTTGAACAAATTCGATACCTTGGACTCCACTTAGACAAACGTCTAACTTGGAACCCTCATACCAGACTGAAACGACAAGAAACAGCTCGATGTTTCCGACTACTTCAACACTTACTAGACAAACGCTCTAAGCTCCCAGTCAATTACAAAAGACTCATATACATGACTACAATAAGACCTATTTGGACTTACGGAGTTGAGCTCTGGGGCTCCACTAAGCCATCGAATTCCTCTCGTATCCAATCATTACAGTCCAAAATCCTTCGTAAAATCCTCACTGCTCCTTACTTTGTTACAAACAAAATCATCCATAACGACCTTAATGTTCCTTATGTTCCTGACCTGGCCCAATCCAGATACCTATCCTTCCATAACAAACTTCAGAACCATCCAAACCCTCTCGTTTCTAACCTTGCTTCCTCTTCGATCCCTGACAACCCTCAGAGGCGTCTGAAAAGGAGATGGCCTCGAGATCTCCTTTTGTAAATACATTTTTAGAGAGCTACCAATGGGTAGTTTCTCAACATGTGATTTCATTCTAATCTATTTCTTTGTTCACATTTACTGAATGTATTTTTACTTGCAATACAGTTGTAAATATCATCAATAAAAAAAAATAAAAAAAAATAATAATAGTGATTATTTCCCTTTGATATGGATGATTTGGCATTCCGAACGGCAATGTCGATTGGCAATTAGCTTGTATTTTAAAATATTTTAAGACCGATACAATATTAAGAGCACTTCAAAATCTATTTTCAAGAAATGATTAAGTTATTACATTAAAGTCATTACTATAAAAGTTAAAAAAGTTTACTGTAATTACCAATATTTAAAATACCAACAAAATGAAAAATGAATGAAACAAAATCTTTTTATCCGTTTTGTCCCTCCTGGTTTATTTTTTATGTAACATATTTTAATTGTTTATGAGTATAATCTATTATTAATTTAGATATGTGAAATTCAATTTTAAATATAAAATAGAGTCTATTTATTTACTTATATTTGGATGCCATGTGCAATTACTAACGTTAGAGATATCTTATTCAATTTCATTACCTATCCAATAAACATATATCTGCAAATAGATTATGCTATTTCTGGTCAAATTAGGTAGTTAAGATTGCTATTAAAAATCGTATTAAGGGTTTTTTAGGTTCGCAAAACAAATATCTAATTTGCTTCTTCTAAAAAAAAATATTTACTCTAGATAACTGACCGTTTCTGAATAAATGTTATATTTGACAGCTAAAAAACAACACAACTCGAGCTAATCGAGGCTCAGTGGTGTAAAACACCTAATTTTTGAAAAAACTTCGCCCACCTTAGACATACGACTATAAAGCTCAAATGGGGGTCATTTCATATGAATTTTCTTATTATGAATCGAATGAAACAGAAATTAAATCGATAGCTTTTCGTTATTATGACTGTATTATGATTTAAATTTTTTAAAAAATCTAAATAAAATCAAATTTAATAATTCAAGTTCACATTATTCAGCGAAAATATTGAAGATTAGAAAGGTTTAAACAAAATTTAGCTTAATAAATGTTTAAATATTTAGATTTATAATATTTACAAAAATGAAACTAAAGGTTTAAGTATAAATATTATTTTGTTTTTAAAAAGCAACATTCTCCGTTGTAGATAAATCCATTTAAATAAATATTTAAATATTTAGATTTATAATATTTACAAAAATGTAACTAAAGGTTTAAGTATAAATATTATTTTGTTTTTAAAAATCAACATTCTCCGTCGAAGATAAATCCTTATTTTAAAATTCTAATATTGTTGTATTTTATGATGTTTTTACCACATCATTCTCTGAAAATTATTATTTAAAAAGAAACTGCATAGGTTTGAATTATGTTTTTATTATTCTTTCATTTTTTAAAATTTTATCATTTATTTATTCTTCCATCAGTAATTATCTTTAATTATTTATTTATTATTTAATTATCTTTACGCCATCAGTAATTCATTTCAATTTAAAAACGCCAACCTTTTTTTTCTTTTATTATCTAAAATAACAATTATAATAATAGTGATTATTTCCCTTTGGTATGGATGATTGTTTCTAAAAATCAACATTCTCTGTTGTAGATAAATCCATTTAAATAATAATAATAATAATAAGGCTTAGCGAACCCGAAGGTTCGATGCCGACACCACCAGTCGCTTTTTACACACCTCCCTCCACCGTTCGCCGTCCAAACCCAGTCCCTTCAGATCGGCTTTAATGCAATCTTCCCACCTTCGCTTCGGTCTACCCCTCGGACGCTTACCATTCGGCACAGCAAATATTAACCTTTTAGGAATTCTCTCGTTACTAAGCCCAACAACTTTACAAGCCCATTTGATTCGCCGCGATGAAATTACCTCAATTATATTACCCGGATACATCTCACGCAATTCGGCG